TCCTTCCTTCCTTCCTTCCTTCCTTCCTTCCTTCCTTCCTTCCTTCCATCTTCTTTTTTTGTTATCTCCAATTCCTACGCTAACCATGGTAGGTGGCAGTTGGAGAGGAAGCCCCCCTTCCCCTGCAGCTGAGAAAGTGCATAGCTTGTCAAGGGCCGTATAGCTGGGAAGTGGTCTTTTTTAAGCTCAGTGCCCAGGGAGTGTGTGTTGCTACCTCTAGGCTATGCAGAGCCTAATCAGCTCTTGGGTCACCATTGAGGGGTACCCCATATTTCTTTGAGGGCTGGAGCCTGGAGAGCTGATTCATTCTGTCAGTGTACGGCTACTTCAGAAGTAGGTGTGCAAGGCCTGGTAGCCCAGAGTGCTGTGTAGGCTCAGAAACATCCAGGGAGCGGGGGCTCATCCCACATGGCTGCCTTTGATGTGGTCTGGGACAGAACAAGCCTCCTGGAGAGGTGAAGGAGCAGCCAGACAAGGGTGGCGGGAGCTGTGAGGGGTAATAAGAAGTTACTGCTGAGCTCTGCTCCACCTGGGGCCACTGGGTGCTAGAGAATGACTGCCAGGCCCAGGACACTGCAAGGGGGCGGCGGGTCACAGGAACTAGAGTACCACTTGCAGCCATACAATTTTTTTTTGAAGACAGGGTCTCATGTAGCTCAGGCTGGCCTCAAACTTGGTATGTTGCTAGGGTTGTCTCTGAACGGCTGATCCTGAGTCCATGTGCTGAGTACTGGGGCCATAGGTGTGTGCCGCTGTGCCTGGTGGGGTTGCTGTTTTAAAACTGGTGATGGGATAAGTAAGATGTGCCCACTATCCTGAGGAGGGAGGTAGGAGCCCTGCGGTGGTGATGCAGAGCAGGCTTCTCTGCCTTGGCGGTTCCCTGCCAGGCTGGGACCACCTCAAGAGTGCTGCTTCCCAGTCTCAGAACCAGGAACCTCCATTTGCCACACAGTGGAGTGCCAAGGCCTGCTACACCACACCACACCACACCCCGCCTCACTCCTGCCCCCACCCTTTAGGGTGGGCTGCTCCCTGCCACTGCTTTGCTGTCCTTGACCTTGGGCTAGCAGGAGTCGCTCTTGGCTGGGCCTGGCCTTGTTATCTCAGTCTCTGGGTGAGAATTCTTCACAGACTAGTGGAACTGTCATCGCGGAACCAGCAGGGAGCCCTGTGCCAGGGCTCTTGCCCTTGTCCTTGACCCTGTCCATTGTGCTTTCAGCAGCAGGGGGTCCCCCAGCCTGGGGACTCAGGTTATCCTTCTGGGCTATCCTTATCTGTAGCTGTCTAATAGGGTTCCCTTCCTTAGCTCAGCTGTGGTGCTTCCTCCCCAGGAGGGGCCAGAGCCTGCTGGCTGCCTGCCTTTAGGGTTCAGGACCCCTGGTTGGGGCACCTCTCAGTACCCTGCTGTGCTCTCTGACCCCAGACCTGGATACCCTTCAGGGTTGTACTTTAGGTTGGCGTGTGTGTGTGTGTGTGTGTGTGTGTGTGTGTGTGTGTGTGTGTGTGTGAGAGAGAGAGAGAGAGAGAGAGAGAGAGAGAGAGAAGTGCAGGACAGGGGTGGGAGTGGCAGTGACTGAGGAGTGGTGTGGGGACCAAGGTCTAAGAAGTGCACACAGATTTCCCCAGTCTCTGTCTGGAGAGGGGAGACCCCACCTGGAGACCACAACCCTGGAGCTGTGTTTTCTTTTTCTTTTTGTTGAACACTTTGCCTGTCCATTGCCTGTGGGGGCTGGGATGTAACTCAGGTGGTACAGTATCTGCTCACAGTGTGAGAGCCCCTACATACAGTCCCAGAGCTTTCGGAGGGGGTTCCTGTGACTGTAAATAAAGTGCACAGCTCAGGGGGTGTGGTAGACAACCAGTTCCTCGGCACTTGGGAAGCTGAGGTAGTGTTTTGAGTTTAAGGCCATCCTGGGTTAGAGTCAGATCCTTTCTCACCTGAGTGCCACCCCAAAAGCACACAACGTGGTATTCAGCACGTTTCATTGTGCAGCCCCACCTCTGTGACTGGACACCTTTGCAGCACCCACAAAGAGCAGATGTCCTTTAGCATCTCCTCCTGCTGCCTCCCCCCCGCGGGCCGCCCCCCCCCCCGGGGACACCAACAGGCTGCTGTCTGCCCTGATCTGGTCCTGGCCACTCTGACCCTGAAAGTCTGGCTTTTTTCACCCAGCCAACCTCCTTGCTGCACTTATCATAGCTTTTATCTTACTTTTGATTTTGAAATCCTTCTAGAGACTCTGGGAGTTGAAAAAAACGTAGTGAGAAGGACCTCTGGCCCGCTGGGAGAAGGCAGCTGTGGGGATCTGCGTAGGACGGGGAGGCCCCTGACTCACCTGCTTCAGGCAGCTCCTCTCCTTGTGGCTTGGGGATGGCTGCTCAGTGTGGCCCCTCTCCATGCGGCTGTCCTGCCACCCACTTGTAGCCAGTTGGTGCACCAGGGTTTCTGGCCTTGTTCAGAGCCCCAGCTAGGGGAGAGTAGGGTTTCAGCCCTCCCCGGCAGCTGGCCCAGTAGGGAGAGGGGCTGGTTGTATTTTAAGCTGTTGAGTGGTTCAGCAGGAACTCTGTGGCCTTCTCTCCCAGTGGACATTGTGCCGCCTTCCAGTGATTCACATGAACTCCGAGCATGTGGCATTGTGCTCATAGGGTCCAGCAACTATTAATACACCTGCAGCCCAGGGCCCTGCCACCTAGCCCCTTCCAGCACATTCCTCACATTCTCATTTCCTCTTGTTTCTGTTTAGTGGGATCCCAGCGTATGACAGCTCTTAATCTGGTATTGTCCTTGTGGGGTGCAGTCATCTGCTCCTCAGGCCACAGGGTGAGGTAGAGTTTGCAGCTGATAGCACGTGATCTCTGTGCTCTTGTCTGTGCTGTTACCATGATGTAGCATGGCATGTATGGGCAAGCAGTCCTGGGCACCACTGGCTGGCATAGGAGCCTTGATCTGAATTCAGACCCAGGCCCTATAGGGCTACTTCACTGTGTAGGGTCACCTCCATGGGGCCTCCCTACATATACATGCACACTTGCACATACATCCCTTGTGCCAGCACCATATTGGTCCATGCACATCCTCTCAGGGACCCCTAGCAGGCCAGGCTGGGGACAGGCCCTAGGATTCTTCTGCCTTGGCCTCTGCTGTTGGGAGCATGAAGGTGACAGTGGCCAGCTTCTCTGGCCTGTGATGCCCCCTCCTTCAGGAGGAGAAGTCTTAGATCCCCTCAGGGCCCTCAGGCCTCACCCGGCCAGCATGGGCAGTGCAGAACTTCATGCCAGCAGCCTTCTCTGACCTTCTGGGCCAGATGGCTCAGATCCCCTGGGGGCTGTCTCCTTACTCTGTTCCTAGCACCATTGTCTAGCTCTAGCCTAGGGCTTCTCCTTTAGGGGCTGCAGACCCCAGGGGTACAGGCAGGCCTGGGTTGTGTGTTGAAGGCTTTGGAGCAGGACTCATCCACGGGTGAGCACATTGGTGTTGGCCTGATGTGGTAGACTGCTGTACAGCTGGTTTTGAACCACGTGTGGGTGAACTGGGGAAAAATGAGGTGGGTGGAGGGGGTGGAGGGCTTTGCTCACTCTTTCCTCTCCATACTTAGGAATGGACTCTGCACCAGTGACTCTGGAATTTGTCACCTCCCTGGCAACACAAATGCACAAGGGACATAATCCAGTGTCCCTTACAGCTTAGAAGTGGAAATGGGTGATCTGTCTCACAGATTCTCCAGATAGCTGGCATTTCCCCAGGCCTAGTAACCTGTCAGCCAGAGCTGGGCACTGGGGCTGGGCTGGGCTAGCCGTCCCTGCACAGGCTGTGGACTCTTCCTTCTCTGGGAGGTCTTGCCCCTGGCACTTTTGAGGGTCTGTGGCCACTCAACTTCCTCTGTGAGTGTAGCCCCCAGGGGAGGACTGTGGTGTGGCTCCTCTGGGGGACTCGGCTGGGATTGGTTTTATATTTAGCCGGGCTGGGCCCTGGTGCCACTCGGGTTACATCTGGCATTGAAGCTTGGCTGGGCCTGGTCAGACACAGGCTTCCTTCCAGCACCGCGGCAGAATTTGATCATGCTGCCCAGCCCAGCTCAGAGCAGCTTTGTGAGGGGAGGTCGGAGGTGGGGGCTGGCGGCTGGCAGTGGGCATCACAGCCTGGTAGGCAGAGCAGTAGGGCCGGCAGTGGCATGGATATCAGCTTGAGCATGGTGGCCAAGGAGGCCCACCAGGGCCTCGATGGTCTTCCCATGCCCATGCCCCACAAGGTAGCCAAGAAGCATAAAAAGGCGGTTCTCTTCTTCGAGGTGGAGATTCTGGACGCGAAGACGAGGGAGAAGCTGTGCTTCCTGGACAAGGTAGGACTGGCCCTGGTGGTGAAGTGCCAAGAGCCTGAGTCCCGGCTCCTCACAGCTGTAGGGCTGTGGTCCCCTTGTCCTTCAGAGGGCACTAAGGGGTATTGCCTTCATCTAGAGCAGCGGTTCTCAACCTGTGGGTCTTGACCCCTTTGGGGTTGCCTATCAGATAGTCTGCATATCAAATATTTACATTATGATTCATCACAGCAAAATTACACTTGTGAAATAACAATGAAATAATTTTATTGTTGGGGTCACAACATGTATTAAAGGGTCGCAGCACTAGGGAGGTTGAGAACCATGAGCAGTTGTGGCCCCTGCATGGGCTGGAAGCTGGCTGCCTGGTAGGGGATGGGACAAGTAAGCCTGAAAGGGCCGTGTGTCTGTAAAGGAGGTGGAAGTCAGATATACCCCCACTGAAGCCAGCTGGCTTGGGACCTGCCTGTGCCTGGCACCCTGCCCCAGATCCTGGGTCTAGGCTCTCTTAGGGCTTTACCCTGTTTTCTGTCAGGTGGAGCCTCAGGCCACCATTGCTGAAATCAAGAACCTCTTCACCAGGACACGTGAGTCTGAGCCCCTATACTTCTATCCCCACTCCTGTCAGCCCTCTGGATGGGACCTGGGCTTCTGCAGGGTTTTGTAGAGGCCTGTCAGCACAATGGAGCAGTGAGTGGGGCCCGTCCTACTGGGCAGGCTGCCCCCGTGTGGCCACCAGCAGGAATGCTCTTGTTATCCAAAGGACAAAATCCTATTGCTGTTTGGCCCCGTGTGTGTCCTTGCACAGGGTGGGAGGAGCCCAGGGTCCCAGAGTTCTGGGAACCTTGAGAGGCAGCTGAACCCAGTCACACTGGGTGCTGCAACTGCTCACCTTCTCCTAGCAGATCCGCAGTGGTACCCTGCCCGCCAGTCCCTCCGCTTGGACCCCAGTGAGTACAGCTGTCCACCAGCCTTTCCCTTGGGCGCGTGGGGTCAGGAAACCAGGGCAGCACCTGAATACTGACTGATCTCTGTAGAGGGAAAGTCCCTGAAAGATGAAGATGTCTTGCAGAAGCTTCCTGTGGGCACCACAGCCACACTCTTCTTCCGGGACCTGGGGGCCCAGATCAGCTGGGTGACGGTGAGCCCTGACCCCTTCCCTGGTCTCTGCCTTCAGCCGCTCTAGGGCTACTCACCTTGTCTCTGGGTACCCCCAGGTCTTCCTGACTGAGTATGCTGGGCCTCTTTTTATCTACCTGCTCTTCTACTTCCGGGTACCATTCATTTATGGCCACAAATATGACTTCACATCCAGTCGGCACACAGTGGTGCAGTGAGTAGAGCCCGGATGAGGGTGGGTGGGAGGGAGAGTGGAGGGCTGGATCAACCCCAGCTGAGTCAGCTACCCCCCCCCCCCCCCAGCCTTGCCTGCATCTGCCACTCATTCCACTACATCAAGCGTCTGCTGGAGACACTCTTCGTGCACCGCTTCTCTCACGGAACCATGCCTTTGCGGAACATCTTCAAAGTGAGCATCCTTACTCTTTTGGCCCTGCCCACCATCAGCACCTGCCCACCCCAGGCTAACTCAGCTGCTCTCTTTCAGAACTGTACCTACTACTGGGGCTTTGCTGCATGGATGGCCTATTACATCAACCACCCTCTCTACACACCCCCTAGTAAGTGGAGCCAGACAGTGCCCTCACCCTGTGACTTTATCATAACCTCTTCTTATGGGGCTCTTCTTCCTGCCTTTTCTGCAGCCTACGGAGCCCAGCAGGTTAAGCTGGCGCTGACCATCTTTGTGGTAAAGAGGCTGGGGTGGCAAACAAGTGTGGTGAGGTGAGGTGGCTGGGTGGGGTGAGCCTAGGGGCTCTGGACTGACCCTGTTATCCTTGATAGATCTGCCAGCTGGGCAACTTCTCCATCCACATGGCTCTTCGGGACCTGCGGCCAGCTGGTGAGTGGCGGGCTGGGGCTGGGGCTGGGACTGGGTGAGTTGGGTGAGGCATCTGACTTACCCTTGTTCTGCATGCCAGGGTCCAAAACCAGGAAGATCCCCTACCCCACCAAGAACCCCTTCACCTGGCTATTTCTGTTGGTGTCCTGTCCTAACTACACTTATGAGGTGAGGGACCGACTACCTTCTTCCTCCCAGGTTTGGGGTCCTACATGAGGTAAAGTATTGGGTGGGTCGTGGGGAGTAGTGAAACAGTTTGGGGAGACTGCTGCCCTCCTTCCCAGAGATACATGTGATGTGGGGCTTCCCTCTGTGCCTTCACCCTGCTTGTGCTGTCCACAGGTGGGGTCTTGGATTGGCTTTGCCATCATGACGCAGTGTGTTCCAGGTGAGTCCCTTGTACCCGTGCAGTGCCCTACCCTTCCGGCTGGGCATCCCCATTCTGATAACCTTGTTCTGCCCACAGTGGCCCTTTTCTCCTTGGTGGGCTTCACCCAGATGACTATCTGGGCCAAGGGCAAGCATCGCAGCTACCTGAAGGAGTTCCGTGACTACCCACCCCTGCGCATGCCCATTATCCCTTTCCTGCTCTGAGAAGTTCTTCATGGGTTCAGCCAAGTAGCACTCTGCCTTCTGCCCCACTGTCCTGGGTAACCGTGGCTCTCCAGCAGCAACAATAAACCTGTTTACCCAGCTAGACTTGGGCTTTGTGTTCTGTAGAAGTACGGGGACCACACTGTTCCTCCCACCCTCGAGGCAGTGCAGACAAAAAGGCTGGGCAGGTGACCCAAGACTTTTATTTCACTGACAGGTCCACAGGCAGGTGGGTGACCCCTAGAGGGCCACCTCGGGGCCCACCTCTCCTTCTCCCTGGCCTTGGGCTATCCGTTCTGCCTTCTCTTCCCTCCGCTTCTTCCTCTGGAGCAGTCGCCGCTCACGTTCAAACTCCTTCATCCGCTTCACATAGCTGTGGGCAGAACAGACAGGGTTTCAGTGCCCTAGGTGCCTGACTCCATCCCCAGCCACCAGGAAACCCTTGCTAGGGTGAGGCTTCGCAGTAAATTCTGGCTTAGCCCCCTCCCAGATGACTCCAGCCTCTTCCCCGTGTCCATGTGTGGGGGTGCAGGGCAACTCACTCCAGGTGCTCGCAGTAGTCCCAGTCATGCTGCTCATGCTTGCACGCCAGGAAGTTGGGGAAGCTGTCCCGCTTGCACTTTAACAGCCGGATGAGGTAGTGGGCGCAGTAGTCACGCTGCTGCAGGGTCAGCTGGGCATCATTCATCTCCTGTTGCGTGGCCACCATCACTGTGGAAGGAGAGAGGCTTTCAGCACCAGAGCCAGCCCCCAGCTCCACCAATCCCTGGGGTGCACACAGCACAAATGAGCCACACCAGGGTGTCCCTCATTGGTTTAGAACCCATTTGAATTATGGCCTCACCCTGATAGAAGGAAG